AGTGGCATTTTTTCAAATGAACAATCCATAATAGTATTTTTGCAAATGTACATACCAAAAGTGGTATTTTTGCAATTGTTCCCTAAATATAAATGTAGTGTGATTAAATCTTACTAAATTTGCTTGATAATTTTAAAATAATATTGTAATATTTTAAAAATTAGGTTTATTAAAAAATAGTTCAATTTCAATAGCAAAATATATCATAAATTATGTATATAAATTTGTTTTATCAATCTATTAATTTATTTAAGGGACAATTGCAAAAAAATCACTTTTCGTATGTACATTTGCAAAAATGCAACTTAGGAGCGTCTATTTACAAAAATACTACTAATTATGGATTTTTAAAACCTAAATCTTAAAATGTTTTGACTTTTAAAACCCCTTAAACCCTCGAAACTAAACTCTAATACAACATAGCTAAAATAAACATAAATGATATAATGAATTTTTTTTGTTGAAAAAGTGGCATTTTCACAAAGATTTTGAAAATGTGCATTTTTTAAAAGTGGCATTTTTTGAAATTTTTTTTATTTAATTAATTATTTTTCAAAAATTAAGGCAGTTACCATTTAAATTTGAAATTATTCAGCAAATTCCGCAAGAAATCACTAAAAATTCAGCAAATTTTTTAATTCCGCAAAAATTCAGCAAAAATTCGGCAGTTACCATTTAGATCCTTAAATTAAATATTTTAATTCTTGTAGTGATTTTATGATTCGACAGATGTGTTTGACAATAAGATCAATAAATCCACTCCCAGACATCTACCGAAAGTTGGGTGAAATTCAATTTAGGAGAGATTATTTTACTTTTTGTTAATTAGGTTTTTTACTTTTTATGTCGACCACATTGTTATGATTTACCATCAAAAAGGTAATTTTATTTTCACAGAATGATGTTACCAAATATCTTTATTTTAAAATGGATTTTGTTGATCTGATGTATCATGTTTTTACCATTTCACTTCTAATTTTTTTTTTGGATAAAATTATGGATAAAAAAAATTTAGCACTTGAAAACATTTTTCTACAAAACAACAATTAATTCTATTTGCGATTTTCAACTATTTGGTTCTTTCAATATTTGGGTAGCATCATCAAATATATTTCGGAGATGAGAGACAAACGTAATCCATCTCTAAAGACGTACTATTAAAAATCTTAACTTATACATATAAAAACATCAAAAGTAATATACAAAAACATGAACAGATCCATTCATTTCCAATTAATTTTGAATTAAACTGTTAATAATCAAGTTAGAAAACACAACCATTTTCAACGGCAACTTGTTAAATATTCTACCAAAATAATTCCATGGTGTTCATAATTAAATTTCATACCAAAATAATTAAATCTGTTCCGGAAGGCCCCACTCATTAACTCAACCCAACCATATTATTTTGTCTTAAATCAAAATGTGTGCAGGTCTGATTAATAATAGGTATACACCGCTTAATAGAGTAGTAAAATTTGTCCAAGGTTTCATTAAATTTAGGGTTGATTAATTGAATTCCACATTAAATTGGTTTTGTTGACAAGTTGGTTCACCACACAGCCCCTTGTTGACAATTTTATAATCATCTAAGCTGTTAGTGTGACATTTATACGACCAAATTATTGACAAATTCAGCCAAGTAGACTACTAGTTAAATTCACCTGTGAAAATGGAAAAAATTTATATCTGAGCTGTTGTGTAGGTTTGAATATAATGGTCCAGTATGGAAATCGAATTTTAAATGGATGCATTTTGTACATACAAACCACATATTTTAATATATAAAACATTTTCAAAAAAAATACCAATTTGACAGTAAATCTAAAGCATAATAAAGTTAAGAGAGTATATGAGAAGTGAACAAGTATCTGAAAGCATGTTAATTCAATGATTATTATTGATGGTTTACAATTATGACAAGTTTTCTCATGAAACGGGTCAAAAAATTGACCAAAAACCGGTTTAGTGCCTAAGTCTGCTCACCTGACATTGTTGAAAGTTTTGAGTGGTCCTTGCTGCACAGACCATGGAGGTCGTTTGTTGTTTTCCTGAAATTTAACAGAAGATAAACTTAACTCGGATATCGAAAGCTATTGGTTCTACCAAGAAATTTTCAGTTTGCAATTAGTAGCATTTGGAGCATGTAACTCGAAAGGATCGGTGCAAGGTTGTTTTTAGCTCAAACAGATCCAGCTTTTTAGCTTTATCCATTACCAAAGAAACCAACACAAAACCATCTACACAAGATTGAGAAAGGAACTTGAAACAGAGATTGGTAAGTTACATACTCTGATATCTGTGACAGAATTGCAGGAGGAACATCTAACAGATGGAGCTCCATAAGGATACATGAGGAGCAGTTTGCAATTGTTGCAATTCACCTGACCAACCTCGTCAGCTGCAAACAAAGAACAACAAGTCAGAACCGATACAAAGACAAGGATTTAGAAGAAGAAATTACAATGGAGTAGAGGCCGAGTAATACATAAGCTTAGAAGAAGAATGTTTAGCTAAAGATCACACAATTGTCCGGCACTAGAGAATAAAGAACTAAAGATCGCATCAATTGTCTGTCTACAAAGGAGCAAGATAGAGTAGAGATCAAATAGCTCACAAGATAAATGGAAGAATCCTAGCCAGAGCTAATTCTTGTTTCAACTAAAGAACCAATATCAATTAGTCTCAGGAATATTACACATAGAGATTCTCAAAAGAACGAATTTGAGCGATGATCAGTTGATCACAGAAGAAAGATACGAAATCAGCAAGAAATTAGAGATATCACTGACATTCCCAAGATTCTTCCTTTAAACAGTTACAAGTCACTGAGATGATTAACACAAGCTTTTCACAATAGACGAATAAGAGATATAAAAGACATGGAAGAAACCTTCAAGAACGAGATTAACAGTTTGACAACACGAACACTTGACGTGTTTGGATCCTCTTGGATACGTAAGTAAACGCCTGCAAAATCCACATACCATTTGCACCATTTCTGCAACCCCACAAAACAAAATCAAAAATTGCAGAAAATCACCTTTTTTTTTTTTGCGAAATCGAAAGTGGGTTCTCTACAAAATCTATTCAAAATCGCTGCTTTCATCAGATAATACCAAGAGATGGATCAAATCGATAAACCCTAAATAGACTTACCGGGATTCGCAGCGGTGAAAGCAGTGGTGGTGGGGTTTGCGGCGGCGATCGGAGGAGGAAGAAGTGCAGATTCCCATCCCGGAGGAGGAC